TTACTTGGCAGTTTACACACGTCCCTCCTTCTTTCTTTACATCCTTTTCGACATTGCCCAGATAAGCGTATGCCTGCCGGACATAAATGTAACACTGATTTAATACTCAGTTCTACAAAGTAATTTTACTATAATATTATTTCGCTAAATATGTAAAAAGGATAATAATATCCTTGAGATAATGAAAAGACTCTTGGCTCTCTCTCCCCCTCTTTCGCATGTAATCGATTGTTTCACTTTATCATTGAAAAGCAACTGAGTCCGCTATGTACAAAACTTAAACACATTTGAGGCCGAAACTTGTAAAATATTTTTGTTACATTTTCCAGCGATACGCATGCATGCACGATCAGTCCACAGTGAGGCTTGTAATTAAAAAGAAAAAGAAAGACCTAAACTGTATTTACTGAGTGAGGTAGATTCAGTGTTTGTTTCAAGCAAACATAATTTTCCAAATTTTACAAATCTAAGAAAAAGATTAAATTTTTTATATATAAATTATGATGAAAATTGATCCATAGTAGCAAGCTAACCTAAACAATTAACGAAAGAGAATTTGCATCACATAGAAGTATTTTTTGGATCCTAACATATACAGGAGTTATTATGAAAAGCAAGCAGAGAAGTTTTTTATGACGGAAACTGAGAAAGAATAGAGAAATTTTAGAGAGTAAATTAGGTTTGCTAAATATGGATCATGTCATGTGATATTTCGAGAATCTTCCTCCTCCTCCTCCTCCTCCTCCTCCAATATGCCTGAAAGGTTATCTTTTGCATGAAAACAGTGCGTAATTTTCGGTATATTGTCACCGAATCACGAGTGGATAAGTGCACTGGGCGAAATGGTGTAAAGTATCCAATGGTCGGCCTTGCCCTTGTGCCCTTGACTACAATGTTACTCGTTGTATGAATAGCAATAGATAATGTAGAGTGTTTAATGATGAGACGTGGGCTGCTATAGTGTTTTCTATTGTTCCCATTGACACTGACAATATTGAACTAATACACTTTACACGTTTACCCGAAGAAGAAGCAGAAATATTCTGAAAGTGAAGACAGACAGTATGGCCGGTATGTCAACAATGTAATTTTATAAACGTTTTAATTCACCGTCCAGTGATGTGAAGACTAAACGAACAAAATTCATTTGCATTCACTGATATCAATAATAATAATAATAATAATAATAATAATAATACTAAGTACCAGTGAAAGTACAATTTTTTAAACTGCAAAAGTGTCTGAAGCATGTTTTATGAAAAAAATACAATAGTTCGCCATAATACATGATTTCAAAAATACGGTCCTAACTAAATTTGTCTGAAATTTCTCATAACTCAGCTAAGTCAGCGTTTCATGTTTAAATTGTTAATGCCCGGCTGCAAATGAAATGACAGAGAGAATCATCATCGTTCGAACGCTAAGAGGACGGACGCACTTTATAAGATATTGATGTTGTTGGTGGCAACACTCATTCAATAATTGGCTTTCAACTGCGAAAGAATTGATAAATTTTTTTGTAAAACTTGGCATAAACTTTATGAAAGTTTAAAATCTTCAATGGATACAGCATCCGCAATTAATTTCACTTCGCAATAACTAAAGCGTATAAACTTTTCAATAAACGAAGAAAAGAAAAATAGCAAGCTGCACATGTTACCAAATGGAGCAAAAAACCATATTATACTTGCTTGGGTTTATTATTGTTATTGGAAAAGCATAAAATATGTCTGTAGATTATCTTTCCATTTATCCTTATAAATGTTCATTTTCTTTTCTTTTTTTTTTTTTTCTTTTTTAATTTTTTGCTTCTTTTTTTTATATTTTTTGTTTTTATTTATTTTTATTTTTATTATGTGTGTTTGCTTACGAAGTTTTATTTTAGTTTTTCAATTTTATATTGAAAAATCCGTGTGTTTTTTTTTTTGGATTGTTTTTTTTTTTTTTTTTTTTTGTGTGTTTCTTCGTTAAAAATGTAAAACTAAAAAGTTTAATGGATAACAGCAGACATCGTATACAAGTTTCAAAAACTCAGAAAATATTTTCCATGTAATATTGAATGGCGGCTAATGGGTTTGACAAACCAAAAAGTAAAATTTTTTTTATTTTTAAATAAAAAAAAAAAAAAAAAAAAAAAAAAAGAAACAAGAAAACAACCGTTACAAATATTATACATATCTGCGCACATGTAACTGTGACAGAAATAGTGAATCGAACTCATGTTATACTGTCATTAAAATAACAAAGGGAACCGTACAACAAATGCTTTTTAAAAAATTTATATGAGAGTGCATGTAACAGATAAAAGTGAAAAATTCGTGGCGTTTATCTTACCAAAATTTTAAGGCATTTCTCTTATACTTTAAATGAATTTTTTTTTCTTTCATTTTGATTGTAAAGTTGAAAGAAAACTGAACCGACAAATTTTCATAGAACTCGATTCAAGTTATGCTTGAAGCATTAAAATAATTGCGCAGGATTTATATATCAAAAGTTCATAGCCATTAAAAATATATGATCTGACATTGTCGCAAACGAACATCGATTGAAGTCCTTTCTATTGATTAATTCTGGTTTAATTGAGATTCGAGTTGCTCTTGGAACCAAACGTCTCGCAATATTCGATCACTCCTCTTTATGCACCATTACCTTTCAATTGCATCGAGCACAAGGTACAAGTACCGTTCTTTGCTATCGTGTAGTCAACTTATCAATTTATCTCGAATCATGATCTTTTTTCCACGTTATTGCCACGTACGACTCATTCGTCCTCCTCCTCCTTAAGCGATCTCCCCAAAAATAGCAAACTCGCTGAATATGAAAATTAAACGTTTCATTTATACGGTTCATATGGTACGCAAATTATTTTTGCGGTCAGTTTTACGCATATGATTCAAAGTCGTTTTTATCGTACTCGACCCAACCGGACAACGGAAATGAACAAATCTTTTGTTTATTTTTGATTTCTTCATAAAACCTACGAATTTTTTTTTTTGAACATTTGGCTCATTTTCAAAACACAATTACACTACCTTTTGTTAGAATCGAGACAAGAGATAATTTTTTTTTTTTGCTTTTTTCCCTACACTCCTTAGAGTACGGCCTGATAGCGTTAGTATTAGCAAAGTTGCGCGATTCTAAAATCATCGATTGAGAAAAATGCCATGAACTTTTTTCTTGTCGCCGGCTATCCTTGAATTTATGAGATGCCATGTAAAGCAGATTTGCATGTTTTTGAAGCGATAGCAAAAAGGATTTACAACCGCTGTAAATAGACTGTTTCAACATCTATCTATCACTAAATATTTCTCGTTAAAGTGAACACATATCGAACTATTTCGATGCATCGGTACATTGAATTCATACATATGTAGAAGCAAGTCGTTGTACATGATATTTGATACAAGTTCCTAAAGGATGGAAATCGATAGATCCAGATACACCAGATATGCAAATTAATAATGAATTCCTTTCAATAGAATAGAGTTAAACGTTAAAAGTTATATGTTGACGTACACGGCGAACTGATATTACTACAACCTATTACCTATTGTTGTCAAAATTAAACGACGTCATGTGTAAAATTTTTCAAATAAAAGTTAATAATGGTATTGAAATAAAAATGCTTGTGAGCGTTTCGCAACTGGCATGCTTTACGCTTGATTTTAGTTCAAAAAAGTTTTCTCGCAACGTCGGTATAGATCGAAAGCTGAATGATATCATATCGTTCAAATAAATTGAGTAAAGAAAATATAAAGATAGTTTTCTTACGAACCGAGAGAAGTATCTCAAGTAAGTGATTGCTCGAAGTATCGAATCCAGAAGATAAGGAATGAAAAAGCTATTACCAATTTAAAGTTGCACTGGAGAATTTACTTAAGGAGTACGAATTATATTCCCTCATTGGACATTCCGAATTTATCTGATGATTTTTTTTTTAAGCAAGCAAAACTCATTACGCTTGGGAACTCGGCAGCTCTTAGTTTAAGTTTAAGGTATCGAACAAGTTCTCCAAAAATACAAATTTTTGTTAAATTTTTCACGTTATTTCTTGCCGACGATACTTTCATTTGCTATTGTACTGTTCGTGCATTTAATGCACCATCTAATGACTCTAATCCAACTACAAAATCAAGTATATCATGTATCCGATTAACTTTCAGATCATTTTTCTTCTTCGAGTGCAGGGCCCAAATTATGAAGTAAGTAAGTAGCATTTATTTATTGTGTAATCGAAAAATTGTATGATAAGGGATAGTGTTAAGGTCAAGTTCGTAAACTTTTTGGGTAAAATAATTTATGAATGGTAGAAGTGTACTTAAGAATAATATATTGAACACAATATACGCGGGTGTAAAGTCGTAAATTCGAAATGGCAAAAATGACCGGGACGGGTTGTATGCCAGGAATGTTGCTTCAAAATGTGAAAAAGGGTCGGTCCTTCGGTCGGTATATCCTTATAATTTGATGATGTCTATGAAAATGTAATTAACTTAATAATCACTAAGATCGCGTTTACTAGAAATTCAACAAAGAAACATTCGTATGATAGATATCAGATCATCGAAGTAAACCCGTTTTGTTGCCTACAGTTCCACGTAAAGGCAATCATATCGTGCACGACAACAATGCGTTGTTTACCTACTTGTTTCGTTTAGGCCTCTGCATTGAAAAGATCTTTTAAACACTTTACGACATAAGGTAGAGTAGGATATTTATACATTATTAATGGGACGCTTTCATCTAATGTTGCTCTGGACAACGGAGCAAATTTTTCACGCAATCGAAACTAAAAAAGAATATAAGAAGGAAAATATATATGTGCTTTAACCTAAAATGAGGTTGAAATATTTTATGAAATTATAGATTACACGAACGAATTCTACAAATTTTAATTTATACGTGAGAACGAGAATCGCAAAATTTGATGCAATTTAAAAATGAAATTTATTTAATTAAATTTTCTTTTTTTTTTTTTTTTGGTCTTTTTCGTTTTGCAGGCTCATACAACGTGATACACGACCTACACCAATCGTAAATTGTCGAATGACTAGTGGTAAGCATGCGCGAGGTATATCACCAGCACCCGATCATCGTACCGAGGCAGGTTTACGTATCGATCCAAAAGTTTTGGTATTCGTGGAGACCACGTATTCGCAACTGGGTAGAAATATCTCCGAACTGCTTGTTTACAATCGTATAAAGTGAGTAATAGTG